CAACCTTCCTTCCGAGGAGTGGCTGGTGGGTTTGAACCGCCAGCCATCTGGTTAGCAGGCAAATGTCTTAGCCACTATGCTACCAGAGCTCCCTGCCATATATTAGGGCCCCTAAATTTGCCCCTAGTTTTTCCTTGAGGAATTCTATAGTTTAAGGTTTCACATTTAAGTCTTTGATCCATCTGGAGTTAGTTTTGTGTATGGTGTGAGGTACGTATCTTGTTTCATTTTTCTGCAAATGGATATCCAGTTTTGCCAGCACCATTTATTAAACAAACATTTTCTTCCCCATTGAATGGATTTTGGCCCTTTGTCAAAGGTCAGCTGATCGATGGATCTATTTCTGCCTTCTCAACTCTATTCCATTGGTCTATGTGTCTGTCATTAAACCAATACCAGGCAGTTTTGACTACTGTGGCTGTATAGTAGGTTTTGAGATGTGGCAATGTGAGACCTCCTACTTTGTTCTTCTTCTTCAATAGTGCTTTGCTTATCTGAAGTCTCTTTCCTTTCCATATAAAGTTAGTGATTCGTTTTTCCATATCCTTAAAGAATGTTGACGGGATCTGGATTGAGATTGCATTGAATGTATAGATTGCTTTGGGTAGAACTGACATTTTCACAATGTTCAATCTTCCTATCCACGAGCATGGGATGTTCTTCCATTTATGTAGATCTCTAATGGTTTCTTCAAGTAGTTTTTTATAGTTTTCTTTGTACAGGTCTTTTGTGTCCCTGGTAAGATTTATTCCCAAGTATTTTATTTTTTTGGTAGCTACTGAAAACGGTATTGATTTCCTTATTTCTTTTTCAGCAATCTCTTTGCTTATCTGGAAATCTCCTAATTTCACCATCGTATTTGAGGGACAATTTTGCTGGGTATATAATTCTTGGTTGAAGATTTTTCTCTTTCAGGGTTTTATATATACCATCCCATTGTGGAGGCATCTCTTAACTCAAGGAGCTCCTGGCTGCTGAGTCTGACAAACCCAAGGTTGACAAGTAAAATGGCAGGGTCCAAAGATTATCATGCAACACAGAAGGCCACTAGTTCAACTCCAAAAACAGTCCCAAGACCACCAGACAACACAGTAGGCCAAATGTAGGATCCCAATGTGTGAAGAAGCTGAGAGACTTTTCTCAAAGCTTCTTATATACTGGAAGCAGGCCACATCCCTAAGGCAGCTACTTAGCTGCTCACAGTAGTTTCCACCATGGAGATGACTGCCAGTCTCATTAATGGGGAGTACTACATCCAGCTGCCTAGCCAGCCACTCAACCAGGCCCAGCCAAGTTTACACACAACCTTAACTACTACAGAGGCTGATGATGCTTAGTTCCTAGAAAGGCAGGAGACTGGCTAGAGTAGTCGATGATGTCAGGGCAAGGAAAAAAGGCAACAGGGCAACATCACTCACATTGTGAGATTCCGTTGGGCCAAGCCGCTGCCATAGGACTACTGTGGTAATCCAAAAGGGGCTCCAGCAGAAAGAAGCTGTAGGTTGTATGCTAAGAGAAAGAGTTAGGAAAGGGGGGTGTGGGGAGTCACAAAAAGCCAACACTGCAAAAATAAAAAAATAAATTAAAAAAAAAAAAAAAAAAAAAGCCAGTCACTTATACCAGGAACTGTGCAGTACAGAAATCCCTGTGGGACTTCTAAATAACCCACAGACACGCCCTAGGAGAGTGAGCACCCATGTGGATACCTGCATGAGCTGGCACTGATGGATGGATCACAGCAGCCCTAGTTAAGTCAAACGTTTGCCCTTGTCCTCCACACACACAAGGAAGGAAATGTAGAAAGAGCAGAAGGGGAGGAGAGGGAGGAGAGGGAGGAGAAAGAGCAAAATACCAGAGTATACCACAGGAGAGATTAGAAACTGGAAGTGAGACAGAAGCTTTAATTTGAATTGGACTTCTAAACGTTTGGAAAGTAAACCGTGAAGACCAAAATGTGATTTACTTTTATAATGGACAGGTGTTGTGATAGTTACGACTGTGTGTCAACTTGGCTGGGCCATAATTCTAAGTGGTTTAGGAGTCATGATGTAGTCACCCCCTATGATGTGATATGATATAATGACATCACTTCCATGATGAGATGTGCCATGAACAGCCAATCAGTTGAAAGGGAGTTTCTCAGGTGTGGGGCCTGCTTCACACACACACACACACACACACACACAGTATGGAAGGTGGGTCACTGTACTTCTGTAAAGATTTGCCACCTCAGAAACCCAAAGGGGGTCACTATGAGTCAGAATCAACTTCATGGCAGTGAAGTTTGGTTTGTTTTTTGGTTATGGACTTTATTAGGGGAAAAGAGATGC